TAAGCATATTTTTCATTAAATTTTTAGAAACTTATTTGATTCTATTACTTTTAATTTTTTTATTTTGATTAAAGTTTTTAATTTTATTGTTTTAAAAAGATTTTTTTTGGATTAAATGTAATTTTTAGAAAATTTTGTTTACTTTTTTCTTTTAAATTAAAAATTTAGTTTGGTATTTCTTTTAAATGTTTTTTTTCTTTTAATTTTCAGATTTTATTGTTTTAAAAAAGAAAATATTTCTTAAGATTATCTAATTTTTAGAATTTTTTAATCTTATGCTTAATTTATTTTTTTATTTAGTTTTCTTTAATTTTTTAAATTTTATTGTTTTAAAAAGCAAAATATATAATTTTTAATGTCGTTAAATTTTTAGGAACTTATTTCATTTATTTAATTAAATTTTTTTTCTTGTTCCAATTCAATTTTCTTTTGATTTTTAAATTGTGTTGTTTTAAAAAGAAAAATATGTACTTTTTAATTTCTTTGAACTTATTTATTTGTTTTATATTGAACCTTTTTTCTTTTTTTCAATTATTTAAATGATCTTTTAATTTTTAGATTTTATTGTTTTAAAAAGAAACATTTTTTTCCTTATATGTAAGAAAACTAGTGGATGTTCATGTAAATATGTATGTATTTTAGAAGAACTTGCAGCTGTGCTGCTGTGTGTTCCACTTTCTTCAGTTGCAATGACGACGAGTGATGTGAATAGGGGTTGCGGGGGATTTGGCTTGTTCAAATGTTATTTTGAAAATATATCCAATTTGCTTATATGTATAATTTGTATATGTACATACCTCCATCCTTTTAATCCATTTTTCTATACTCTTCTTTCTCATTGCAGAATAGAATGGGTGGAAATAATCGAGCCACGCACCAAGGAGCACATGTACGCCAATCTTACAACTGGCGAGTGCGTTTGGGATCCACCGGAAGTAAGTATGACACACATTTACATATGAAAAAAAAAACAAAAAATGCAACAATAAAAACTTGACGCTGACATAGGGGACATACATACATAGTACATAGTAGGTACGCATAGCAGTGACATTTCAGCATCACACTTTTGCCTGTGCAACTTACAAGGCTAGGCGTGCGTGAGTGTAAGTGTCCTTATTGGCGGTGTGGAAGTCAAGGATACATACATATGTATGTATGTATGAATGTGTATTAATGAAGCAACGTGTGCCCCAAGTCACCCTGTCTGCTGTCGTTTCTGTTCTAAATTATCATACACTATTCGTTTGCTGCGGTTTGTTGTTGTAGAACATGTATTTTCGATTGCAACGCTAATATGAGTATCCTTATTTGCACGTCCACCTCTTCTGCTTACTCGCCATATACTGTGATTATTTAGTAGTCTCGTTTTCATTTCGAAGATATTGTGTGCATTTCGCTAGTTTTTGGAGCAACGTATTTTGGCCAGTTAGTTGCTTTTGCTCAGCCCACGTTGCAATTTCGTTTTTTTTGGTATATGTACATACATAGCTAGCCAACAACAATTTAAGTTCGTTTGTTCGCATATTTTTGCCTGCATTGACCCAGTTAGCTACATAGTACATACGAGTACATACTTACATATATGTCACCATTCCACCTAACAAGCCAACCGATGGACCGGACCACCGTCCGATCGACCGGCCTCATGCATCAATTTTTTCTACTTTACCACCAGTTTATTTGCTACTTTTCACTCAAAATTTTTGACCATCTCTCTTCCGCTTTGTTTCACATTCTAATTTAACTGTTAAATACTCGGCTTAATTTGTTTGGCTAGTGCATTGCAAAAAAGTGCACCAAAAAATGAAAAGCATTAAATTGTGTCAATGTCCCAAATCATACAATGCATGCATAGATATGTATCAAGTTTTGGTAATGGTAAGCGTAATGGTTATTATTTTAGTTTCCATAGTTGTTTGAGTTTCGCCTGCACTCTGAGGCGAAAATATCCTGTGCCAATGGGGACCAATGCAAGCTAGACCACTCCGGAAAATTCACGTGTAGAAGGTTCAATTTTTGTGTGGGTAATTGCCAAGAGGGAGTAAAGCAGTAAGCAAAAATTTTTTAACTCAGTTAGTTAGTTAGTGCTTGGTTATAACAGAAATTTTTTAAACGGTATTGGTAGGTGAATTCTTTGTAATAAGGGTTCGACCTTTGGAACATGAAAATACGTCAATCATTGTCTGGCCAAAGCCGGACAGTAATAGAGAATATGTTCTGAAGTCTCGCCGTTTGAAGGCAGAGCAGGAATTCAAACTCTGTGAATACATGCATGTGAAATCGCAGTCGGTTGTGGCCAGTCAGGTACTCAGAAAGTAGCCTGATGTCATTTCTAGTAAGTAACTGCGTTCAACTATTTCAGCCTGAAACACCGTTAGCTATTTGCACATGGGAACTGTGAGTTTGGTACCATTTCCAAAAATACATCCACCTGATCCTGTTTCCAGTTTTTAAATTTCTTCCAACGAGGAAAACGACGCACATTTTTTTTTTAAATAACCGATAACTTTTGCCTTTTGTTTTATAAGCATTGATAATAAAGTGATTTTTTCGGAAATTGGATTTTTTCGGCATCGCCTTGCGCCGCCAAGAGTTTTACGTAATGATTCGTATTTTATTTTTTGGGTTTTGTCGGTACTTTTCGGATGCTTCGGGGTTATTTTTTGATATTTTGCAGACTTTTTTGAACGTTTTTGGAGAATTTTTGAGATGTTTCGCAAATTTAGATTTTTTACGGGTTCTTTCGGAATTCCTCAGAACAAAAAGAGCACTCAAACCCAGACTATTTTTTAAGGTTTTTCGTGCTTTTTAGAACTTTAGGATTTTCCGGTCTTCTCGTATTTAATTTTTTTTTGTGTTTTGAGGTTTTATCGCTTTCCAGACCTCTGAAAACTTTTTCGTTTTGTTCTGTTCAGAATTTTTCGGACTTGTCGAAACTTTTCGTGTTTATGTTTTTTAAAACTGTTGGGGACTTTTCCGGGCTATTGCTGGGTTGTTTTTTTTTTTTGCTATATTTCGGGTCTTTTTGTCTTTCGAGATTTTTCCGCGCTTTCGGCGTTTTTCTCCCGATGTCTTATTTTCCGGGATATTTTGAGATTTTTTCGGGACTTTTTGGCATACATCATAATTGTTTCGAAACATTTCGGGATTTTTGCTGGAGCCTTCGGAATTTTTCTTGAGCAAAAGTATATTTAAATTTTAACTACGTCTTATTTAATTTAATTTTTCTTGCTCCTTTTAAATTTTTGGATCAGGATTTTCGAACTTTTCGGGATTCTTCGTGTTTAATTTTTGTGAAGTTTTGGTATCTTTTTGGGACTGTTGCCCTTTGTTTTAATTTCGCTATATTTCAGAACTTCTTTGTGATCTTTTAGACCTTTCTTCGGGACTATCAGAAGTTTTTGGTGTTTTTTCGCGATGTCTCAGGTTTTTTTCTGACTCCGAGATTTTTTATTAAACATTTTCGGGATTTTATGGTACCTTTACGGGATATTTCCGCGCTTTTGGAGTTGTTCGCGATATATAGGAACTTTTTCGTGATCTTTTGGTATTTTTTCGGGACTTTTCATACTTACGTCGTCTTTTTTCGCGATGTCTGGCGATTTCTTCGGATTTTTTTTTTGACCTTTCAAAATTTTCCGTTTTATGATTAACTTAAAATAAAGAAAATAGAAATTGACTGATTATAGTCTGCTAAAAAAATATCAGACAAGTTTGTCGGCCAGCATTTCTCGTCGATAGTTTCAAGTGCTACTAAAGTGTGAAATAAATAATTATTTATTTGTAAATATAATCACAAATTTCCACTCAAATAGAAATTATACAGTACTTCTAGAAACTCCGAGCACATCTACATATTCCTAGTAAAGGTAGTTGTTACTTGCTAACAAAAGTTTGTTTAATATTTACAATGAAAATTCTCATTCATCATAACGAACATAGAATTTTAATTGAAAGGGAGACTTCTTATTAAGTGATCGGATTGATAAGATCTTGGCTTAACATGAAAAATGACAAGTTAGACTTTTCACACAGCTTTCGAAGCTCTGCTCAAAACGTTTACCGTATGCTAAATTCACTTTAAAACAACACGTTTGTTGGCTCATTGACTTTTTTCACGCACTGGTTACGCACACGCTTTATGTTTGGCATTAAAAAGCAGCTAACTGTTTGATAATTTCTCAGCGAATTACCAAATTATAAAGAAAAAAATCACTTGAATTCAACATATTTACATATTAATGTACAAGTGCACAAGGGCGGTCCTTAAAATATCAACATCTACATATTTTATGCAACACATTTTTATATCGTAAGTAAGAATTTCAAACTTTTAAATACATTTTTAGTGATCGCTACCTGGGTTTGAATTTTTTTAAGCACAAAAATTCGACAAAATTGTGTCTTGAAATCTTAGAAATTGGACATATTATTGAAACTTATTCATACTCGCTGATTTATAGCTGGTCAAAGTAAAAATTTTGTAGAATTTTTGAGATTTAGAAAAAAAATTCAATTTTTTCAAAACCCTGGTGATTTTGTAAATTTAGTAAATTTTCATGGATGTCTTTGTCATATTTAATGCTGTTATTTTAAGGACCACCCTAATGTGTACCAAATACATTAGTAAGAATAACCGCTATAAGTGTCTTCAGAACTGATGACAACTAAATATCAACAATTTTAGTGGCAAACCCAGCACGCAACAACAACGACAAACAAGCCAGTAAGTAAGTATTGCGCCAGTGTCGGCAAACTACATAAATAAACCTGATAACGACGCCAACAGCTATAACAACAACAACAAGTGTGTCAAGTAAAAATTATAGACGTCCAACAACTTAGGTGAACGTACATACATATCCAGTACATAAATTCTGAAGAACCACCTCTGGCGGTGTGTGGCGGTTTTTGAGTAGGAGGGGAACAACCAGAAATGGTGTGCCACCACCATGAGTAAGCACGTTTCGTTTTCTAAACTCTTCCTAAAAGCGGTGTGTTTTCAAGTGTTTCGCTTTCTACTTCAACGACAGCAACATTGGCAGTGGCCACGGCGGAAGGTAACCAACATGCGGCAGGCAGCTTGGTCTGACCGGTTGTTGGCTGGTTGGCTGGTTGGTTGGTGGTCTGTGGCGCGATTGTGGTGCCGGTGACGCAAATACCGGAAGTTTTGAGGTAACGCCACTAAAATCCGACCGCATTTAAGCGAATACCGCAAAAGCTCAAAAATACGAGTGACAGCTACAGTGGCAGTCATGTAATTAGAATAATCAAGCGAGTGAAATTCAACTAAAGTTACTTTGAATTAAAATTTGCTGGGGTTGAAGTTCACTCGGAAACGAATCGCAGAACTTGCCCCAAATGTTTCGAAGTGATTTTCGCGTGAGACATTTTTTTTTTGAAAACTTGTACATATTGCGAATAGAGTGACTTACGGGGAAAAAATATATACTATTTTAATGAAGGTTCGGAAAGCAAAGTAAAGATCATGATTTTAGAGAACATATCCCCCATTTACACAATTACTTCTTATATTCTTATTGTGTAAAAATTCCGAGCTAAATGTGTAGTTTCGCTGCGAGAAGTGAGCTTGTATCTACATATCTCCCTTCTTTGCACTTTGGGAGGAAATTAAAAATTTAAATGCGTCTCTTAAAAAGCTCAACATTGTTCCTGTTTATATGACCAGCGCTGTGTGTATACACATGTAAATTATAAAAATAAGATTATGAATGAAAAAAAAAAACAAAAATCTAGAAATTAGCAATCAAGAAAAAGACACGATTTCAGTTTAATGGCAGCAAAAAAACTACGCGCACAAGAATATTCCATGTCGACATATATATGTAGTACATACAAATTTACATACATACGCGCATTAATACATGCATATGCACATACATATTTATTCGGTCTTTACATGCGGAAAAAGTGTAAAAGTAGCTGCTTTTTATTTATTAAAATTTCAAATCACGTCCATCGTGCATCGGAAGAAGCCAAGTGGTGCAGAGGGTGCAAGTGGAGTGAGGCATGTTCCCAAAACGGGAAAATGTGCGAAGGAAGGCAGAAGCAGCCCAGTAGCAACATACTGGATTGCAGTAAAGTGAATAAAGTAATAATGAGCACGTCGAGTGGGTAATAATGTGAAACTATAAAATTTCAAAAGGCAGCGGCACACAGTGGGAATTTTATTTTTTTGAATTTTATTTTATTTTTTGTATAATTGTATTATAATTGTTGATCTTTCATGCTAAAACGGCTGGACGTTCTTCAATGAAATTTGGCGCACAGATAGGTTAAAGCCTTAATTAACATTCATTTAGGATATTTTAGAAGATAGTTGCCACCTTTTCATAGGTTTAACATATATTAATTAATAAGTTAAATGAAATATTACAATAATGTGGGCTTCGAAGGAAAGGGTTTCCAAAGCGAGTAATTTTTAAATTTTTTTTAAGGGGGTTGCCATCTGTTAAATAGTTAAAATCTATTAGTTAATACATAAGTTAAATTAAATATCACGGCAGTGTGGAGTCACACGAAAGTTATTCCAGAACTATATGTCTCAAGAATATTCTTTAAGAGGGATGACACCTGTTGGAAATGTTGAAATCAGTTGAATTAAGCTGAACGAAATACTTCAATATGGGTATTAAACGAGAGAGGGTTGTTTTTTTAAAGCAGGCTGCCACTTGTTTAGAAATTCAAAATCAGTTTATAAGTTTAATAAAATATTTCAATATCCTACGAGAGAGGGTTTAAGAACGCGATGTCGGAACAAAGTATTGGCACAGCAAATTTTTCACAATATATGCAACAATTTTTATTCTAATATTTTTACGCCAATTTTGTATAAAAAAATGGCTCATTCAACAACAAAAAACAAACAAAATATAATTTCTAAACTTTGTGCAAAACTCACGAAAATTCAGCAAACTTTATCAAAATTTTCAAAATTTAAATCAGTTTTTTTTAATTTTTTTTGAGTATGCAGTTTTGCAGCCCATTAAATTCTAGTAAAAAAATGCAAGTTCGGAGTTACGTCAAAAATCACATTGATTTTTGAGAATTTTTTTTGTTGAAGGTGTTTTGCATTTTTTCCATATGAGGTATTTTCGAAAAATATTTTTTTGTATGGAAGAGACTGCGTGAAAAAAAAATTCCAAAAATCTACGGTAATTTCTAGCTACTTAAAACTTGCACTTTATGATAATAAAATTGATTGGGCTACAAATCTGCATACTGAAAAAAAAATTCTAAAAAATCTGATTAAAAAGTTGAAAATTTTGATGAAAATTATATTTTTATGTTTTTTGTTGTAGAATGAACCATATTTTCATACGAAATTAGCGGAAAAATATTTGAATGAAAATCGTTGCATATATTGTGAAAAATTTGCCGTGCCAATACTACTTGGTTGTTCAATAAACAACTTTTTTAACATAAAATTTACTATTTTCGGTGATATTTATTTAATTTTTTGATGCATTTGAAATCATAATGTTAAATTTTTACTCCAGTCATTAATTAATTTCTCATCCTCATACAAAATTTCCCACTGTGCGGCGAAACCAGCTTAACAACAGCAGCAGCAACAACAAGACCTGAAAGTTAACAGAATTGCTGTTGACAACAAAACATGGATGGAAGGTGGCCGTGCTTCGGTTAAGGTTGGCCCCTTTAAGGAGTGCGCCTACATACATACTTACATACATATGTATGTACGTCTATATGTATGGGAATGTACATACATATGTAAGCGAGTATTTTTAGAAAGCAACTTCGACTAATTATGGCTGCTTTGAGACGTACATACATATAGACATATATACAGCTGTGTTCATGAAAATAGTAGTGCCAGTGGGCCCTAACTTTC